AGAAAGAGAAAGAGAAAGTCAAAAGACTTAATTCCATTATTTGCAATGGTTCTTTGTTCATATGCAGGGAAGTGTACAGTAATACAAACTAAATGAAGATAATATCAAGTTCATTCGTAGGGGAATTATAAAATAAGATCAAATAAATTGGCCACATCATTAGAATTAAAGGTACATGGTTTGGCTTTTCATTTAATAATTAGATGCCATTGACAATTCAAAAAGTAATTAGATTGGAGATGTTTCTAATATTTTGTGGTAGGTTAATCCAGGTACTGGATCCTCGTACCTGTTTCCGTGTATAACCTCTTTATGTGCAGTGTTAATATGTCTGGCTTGAATGCCTGTTTTGTTACCAATTATTTGTAGGTGCATAAACCAATGAGGATAGTCACCCTTTATGAATTTATGAATGGATATGCCTATGCCCTATTGACATTTTGATTGAACGTTTAACCAGTTTCGTGTAGGGGTTATATAGTCATATTTATTTCCGAGAGAGAGAGAGAGGCAGAGGGAGACAGAGGGGGGTTGTGCAGTCATGTTTATGGAAATGAACTTGGAGAAAGAGAGAGAGAGAGTGGGGGGCACAGAGAGAGAGAGGGGGGGGAGAGAGAGAGAGAGAGTGGGGGAGCACAGAGAGAGAGAGGGGGGAGGAGAGAGAGAGAGAGGGGGGGGAGAGAGAGAGAGAGGAGAGAGGAGGAGAGAGAGGAGAGAGAGGGGGGAGGAGAGAGAGAGGCGGAAAGAGAGAGAGAGAGAGAGAGAGAGAGAGAGAGAGAGAGAGAGAGAGAGAGAGAGAGAGAGAGAGAGAAAAAGAGAGAGAGAGAGAGAGAGAGAAGAGAGAAAAAAAAGAGAGCGAGCGAGAAAGAGGTAGGAGAGAGAGAGTGGAGGGAGGAGAGGGAGGGAGAGGGAGGGAGAGAGAGAGAGAGAGAGAGAGAGAGAGAGAGAGAGAGAGAGAGAGAGAGAGAGAGAGAGAGAGAGAGAGAGAGAGAGAGAGAGAGAGAGAGAGAGAGAGAGAGAGAGAGAGGAGAGAGAGAGAGAGAGGAGAGAGAGAGGGCGAGAGAGAGAGAGAGAGAGAGAGAGAGAGAGAGAGAGAGAGAGAGAGAGAGAGATGAGAGAGAGAGAGAGAGAGAGAGAGAGAGAGAAGAGAGAGAGAGAGAGAGAGAGAGAGAGAGAAGAGAGAGAGAGAGAGAGAGAGAGAGAGAGAGAGAGAAGAGAGAGAGAGAGAGAGAGAGAGAGAGAGAGAGGAGAGAGAGAGAGAGAGAGAGAGAGAGAGAGGGAGAGAGAGGGAAGAAGAGAGGAGAGAGAGAGGAGAGGAGAGGAGAGGGGGGGGAGAGAGAGGCCGTTAGATTTTATACACGTTCTGGATGTGATTTCCACGCCGCCGTTTCTAGACTGAAGTGTAGGGCAGTTTCGCCCCACCTTTTGCGCCCGGCAGTGGCAATGTGTGACGTCACTCCCAAACCTGGGGCGTCCGGAGTTTGGAAAAAGGAGATGACGGCCAAACACTAATTTAAAGAAACTCAAACCAAATGAAATGTTCATCCTCACCAACTGAATACATACATTTTTTCTTTTGTTTCATTTTAATTTTATTTTTTTTTATTTTTTTTATTAGCATTTCGACTTTCTCTGTAATCGACAACGCATGATGTTTACATTTTTGTACTCGACAACCACTGTTTACAGTTTTGTAATCGACAACGCACGATGTTTACATTTTACACTTCTTTTCTTTGCTGAATCCATCATGGGGTTATATAGCAGCAAAGACATGATAAATTTAGAAGTAATAGGTAGGATTTCCTGTTAGCATGTGCAGTACAAGCAAGACCCAACAGCTGAATCTGGAGTACAGCGCCATCAAAACATTAACGGCGACTCAGCGAACTAATGCGGTAAATTTGAAATTGCGCTTCTAGAATATGCTGGAAATCTAAAGGAACGGGATTATCGATGGCCGGATTTTTTAATGTCAACCTGTACTGGTCTTGTAATGTTTCGATTGCTAATAAGTCCAGTAATGTCATTCAAGGTTCGAGCGGATCGGCGAAGTGGTCCCCCAGCTGGACGTGACGGGGAAGTACAAGAGGATTCTCGCTCGCTTCCATCAGGAGCTCGAGAAGGTCACCAAGATCTACAACCGCCAGTGCGAGAATCCTCCGCAGCTACGTGGTTTGCCGCCTGTTGCAGGTGAGCTTTGCAACTTTATCTTATACTCCTGACTGTTACTTCTTATTTGGCAAATGGGAACCTTATTTTTCATAGGTTGGTAAGCGGTATACTTTTGTGAAGAGACAACCTGTCTTTCCAAAGATATCATGCTGGGTGAAGATAGATATGTTAGGGATGGGATTGACATGAACTTGAAGGCCCAGTTGCGAAATATTTTATGATGACACCGTAAACAAGTGAAGAGCCGGTAAAATGAGAGGGCGTCTTGCCATATTATCTGTTCATTCCTTTTAGCAAAATGTGTTAACATATATATTCAAGCTCC